GATGGGTGAGGTGGCAGCTGTGTCAGCCGCGCTGTCAGCTGCAAAGGCTGAGAGTGAGGCGGCAAGGAAAAAGCAGGAGGCGGCGGAGAGGGAGGTGCAAGTGGTGCAGGTACAACTGAGAGATGCTCAGAGGGAATTGGAGGAGGCGAAGCGAGGGGTGGTGGAGGCTAGGAGCGTGGGGGACGGGGAAAAGGGACGAGCAGAAACAGCCATGAGGCAAGCTGCAGAGGCGTGGGAGGAGGTGGGGCGGTGGAAGGGAGAGGCCGAGCGGAGCAAAACCGATGTTGAGTTGCTAGAGAGGGAGGTGAAGGGGAGGGAGGGGCGGATTGAGGAGCTTAGGAGGGAGGTGAGAGAGAGGGAGAGTGAGGTGGTGGAGTTGCAGCAGGAGATGGAGAGAGTGAGAAAGGAGATGGAAGAAGTGAGTGTGAGAGAGGAGGAGTTGGCCGCGACAGTGAATAGGGTGATTGGGGAGGAGCAGGGGAAGGTGGCTGCGGCTGAAGAGAGAGTGAGGGAGGTGGAAGGGGAGAAAGAGAAGATGGAGGAGAGAGTGAGAGAGGCTGTTGGGGAAAAGGAGAAGCTTGAGGAGAGAGTGAGGGAGGTGGCGGGGGAAGTGGAGAGAGTGAAGGGGGAGAGGGTGAGGATGGAAGAGGAGGTGGTGAGTGTGAGGGAGAGAGCAGGGGAGGTGGAGAGGGAAGTGGAAGAGTTGAGAAAGGAGAGGGATGAGCGGAGCAAAGAAGTTGACGAGTTAAATGCCAGCCTGGCAGCGCTCCGTGCTGAGCTGGCATTCGTCCTATCCGAGCTGGAAAGCCGGAATGCTGAGGTGGAAAAGGTGCGATCTGATCTGGCAGCAGCAACCGGAGATTTGGAGAAGGAAAAGGCAGCAGGGGCAGTGGTAGCAACAGAGATGGAGGGACTGAAATCCCTGCATGCTCTGCTGCAGGAGGAACATGGGCGAGTGGTATCAGAGCAGGATCGGCTGGTGGGGGCGTACGAGAGGGAAGTGCAGGAGAAGGACGAGGTGAAGGCAGAAAAAGCAGCACTCGCTGCTAAGGTTGCCGAGGCAGAGGTACGGACCGAAGCTGTGAAGGAGGAACTGGCTCGGGCGGTTGCCGAGGCTGAGGAGGCTCGGGAAAAGGTGAAGGCTGAAGCTGAGGAGGCTCGGCAGGAGCTGGTTCGGAGGGAGGAGGAGGTGCGGGTGTTGAGGGAGCAGAAGAAAGAGGAGGTTGAAACGTTGAAGCAGCAGCAGCAAGAGCAGCAGCAAATGCAGCAGCAGGAGCAGGAGAAAGAGATTCAAGCGTTGAAAAAGGAGGTGGAGGAGTTGAAGCAGCACCAGGCTGTGGGTGTGGAGGATGTAAACATGTGGAAGACAGCTAATGAAGTGCAAGTTGCTGAGCTGGTAACAGTCAAGGCTGAGCTGGAAACTGCCCATGCTGCGCTGGCAGAAATGAAGATTGAGCGCGAGAGTAAAGAGCGTGAGCTGGCAGCAGCTGCTGACGAAGCAAAGGCGAAAGAAGAAGCTGTGAACGAGAAAGAGGAGATATGTAGCAAGCTGACAAATGAGCTGGAATCGCTGAAATCTGAGCTGGAAATTCGAAACGCTGAGCTGGCAGTGCTGACGGTGAAGGATGAGGGGATAGCAGCTGCAATGAGGGAGCAGATGCAGGCTCGGAGTGAGGCGGAGGGGCAGGTGAAAGAAGCTCAAAAGGAGGTGCAGCTGGTGCAGGCTCAGCTGGGTGAGGTGCGATCTGAGTGTGAGGGGCTGAGGGGTGAGAAGGAGAGGCTTGAGAGAGAGGTGGAGGAGGGGAGGAGGGAGGTCGCTGAGAAGGAAAAAGAGGCTGACAGGATGGTGGGGGAGGTGGAGAGAGGGAGGACTGAGGCTGCAAAGGCGGAGGGGAGGGCAGAGGTGCTGCAAGGGATGGTGGCTGCACTGACAGTAGAGCTAGGTGCTCTGAGGAAGGAGCTTCAGGAGGAACGAGAAAAAGCATCTGATCGTGTTGCTGTTGCCGCTGCTGCTGCTGCTGCTGATGTGGCGTCGGCAGCTGCGGTGTCAGAGTTGCTGCGTGCCAGGCTGGCAGCGGCGGAGGAGAGAGAGAAGGAGCTGGAGCGGAGGGTGGAGGAGAGGGAACAGCAGCTGGTGCGGGGCGTGGGGGAGGGCGAGGCGAAGGCAGGAGCAGCAGTGAGAGCAGCAGAGGAGAGAGCAACGGAGCTGCAGCGGCAGTTGAGAGAGGAGGAGACGAAGGTGGCAGCAGCGGTGGCAGGGGCGGATACAGCTGCAGCTGAGGTGGAAAGGTTGAAAGCAGAGGTTGGGGAAGTGAGAGGTGCAGTGGAAGCAGCAGAGGGCGAAGTTGAGAAGCTGCAAGGCGAGGTGGAGCGAGCAGAGGAGGAAGGTGAGATGTTAAGAGGCAAGGTGGAGGCTGCAGAGGGAAAAGTGGAGCAGCTGAGGGGTGAGGTGGAGGCAGCACAGGGTGAAGCAGTGGCTGCGAGAGCACAGGCAGCGGCAGCGCAGCAGGAGGCAGAGACGGTAAGGGCCACACTGCGAAGCACGGAGCAGGAACTCGTCGCAGCGAATACCGATGCAGAGCAGCTGAGGGAGGCGCTGGGGGAGGTGCAGCGGCAGTTGCGTGTTGTGACACGTGTGAAAGAGGCATTGGAGGGGGAGGTGCGGAAGTGGAGGGAGGAGGCGGTGCTGCGGCAGAAGGTGGAGAGCGGGGAGGAGGGTGGGCGGGCTGAGAGACGCGTGATTGGAATGTGGAGGGGCGCTGTTGAGGGCGCTCAGCTGCAGCAGCAGCAGGGGGGACAGGGGCAGGGGGCGCAGCAGGGGAGGCTGGCATCGAGCATGTCAGTTGACAACAAGCTGTTGCTTGGGCACCTACCAGATAGCACCCTTGCACGCTCTCTCCTTCCTGCTCCTCCTGCTGAACCTGCCGCTGCTGCTCTTTCTAGTGCCACCACTACCAGCAGTGCTGCCCCTGCCACCGCACCTGCAGCAGCAGCAGCAGCAGCAGCAGGGTCCCCAGCAACAACTCTCCCGCCGCGCCCCCCCACTCCAGCCTCCGCCCCGCCCAAGGTCTCCCATGCCTCCCAGCCCGTGCCCCTGCTCGCCCTGCCAGGTGGCGCCTCCCCCAGTAGCACCGCCTCTGGAGTGTCCCTCCCGGCTCCAGCTGCTGCTGATGGCACTGCAGTAGAAGGTGGCTTTAATGCAGACCGTGTTGCTTCTGAGGGACTCCCTGCACCTGCAGATGCCCAAGAACACGGTCCTACGGTGCGTGAGGGCGACGTGATTGGTGGAGGCGCTTGGGCGGCTGCTGGTTCGTCCGGTTCGCCCGCTGCTGCTGATCCTGTCCCTGCCTTGCCAGTCACCCTTGCACCAGTAACACCTGCACCAGTCACCCCTGCCACTGCACCAGGCCCTCACACCATCCCTCACTCTGCCACATCGTCTCGCACTGGCTCCCACACACCCACGCTCGGCTTCTCCCATTTCATCCATCGCTCAAAGACAGACACTGCCAGGGCGCGCCCCTCATCCGCTGATTTCACTTCCGCAATCAAAGCTGTGCGCCTCGTTTCTGCGTTTCGCAGCCCTGGCACAGGCACCGCCAGCCCTGCAGGCCAGGGAAGCCCGAGCCGGAGCCGTAGGCCGGGGAGCCCTGGTTCGGCAAGTGCAGGGACGAAGGCAAGTGGTAGTGGAGGTGGGACGCTGAGAAGGATTGGTACAGGGATGGTGGGGCGGTGGAGGGGTGGCAGTCAGAGTGCAGGTGGCGCCAGTGGAGGCAGTGGTGTGGAATCTCAGGCTGAGCTGGGGGAGGTTCAGCCTGCACCTGCGCCTCGCACACAGAGTGATGCGCACTAGGCTTGGTGCTTGCATATCAGTATCTTGTTAGGCTATGGAACCATAGTTACTACGTATAGGTTAGCCTAGAATTGTGTTGTGACTTTGATGGTAGTGTAGTAATGAGGCAGAATCTTGCAGAAACCAATTTGGTTTGGCGTAGTATCTATTGATTTTTAGATGAACTGTTTCTCAGCCGTGCCCCTTGTTTATTCGCAACTATTAACGGATCACTCTCCCAGAGTCCCGCGAAGGCTGGAGGCGGTTCCTGGATTCTGGCCCGCGGTCCGCAAGGCGGCTGGTGACATGGCCACTTTGGCGGGAAGTTTCAACTGACCCTGCTGGGCTGGATTTTACGTGCCGTTGGCGTTCAGCACGTTGAAATCACGCGTTCTTTGGCTGTGCTGTACACGTTTTCATGGGGCGAAGCTTTTTATTTTCCTATCGCAGCTCACGCACCTGCCCGAATGGAACTCAAAGAGCCCATTCACAAGAATTGTTTGTGGATTTGCAAGTCTTCCGCTACACTCCAGCTCCCGAAGTCGTGGAATGTGCTGGTTCAACGTGCGTAGGACAGCAGTTTGCGTCCACTTGACTGAAATCTGTCTCGGTTTCCATTTGGTGCGGGACACAGGCAGGCAGGTAGACAGTGCCCGCCATTGCAGCCCTGTGCTGGCTCCTTGGCGTCGCAGTTCCCTTGGTTGTGTTGGTTTGGCATGGTGCCTGCTGCTGAACAATCCCCTATGTCCGAGGAGTTGTGCTGCTGGTGGTTTAGTTCAGTGTCTACCATATGCTGCTAAAGCCGGTCATTCACTTGCATCCAAATCACTAGGCCCTAATAGTTCCTACGTTCCAGCTTCAGCCTAGCTAACTCCAAGTTAAGTTTACATTAGTTCGAATAATATTGTTTCGTGATATTCCGATGTTGCTGTGACTGCTTTCGATGTGCGTTTTAGGGCCAGACGATTCGACTTCAGCTTAATATGTTGGGTAGATTCCGGATTTTTCCAGCATCCTTTGTCTTATAACCGCTGCAGCTTTTAGCGAGGAATACCCGACGTTACTTGAGCAGCTTCCGTGGCCTCTATTCGTGATTCTAACGAAATTCAGGGAAGACAAAAATAGATTAGGGATGGCTGACGAGCGGCGGCGGCCCATTCGAGTCTACATGGACGGATGCTTTGACATGATGCATTACGGCCACGCCAACGCGCTTCGACAAGCGAAGGCGCTAGGCGACGAGCTCGTGGTCGGAGTCGTTTCAGACGAGGAGATCCTCTTGAATAAGGGCCCTCCTGTCGTGTCGCTTGAAGACAGGTGAGATCGTAGCTTCCCAGGCCGCGAAAAAAAAACTGTGTAGTTCATAAAATAATTATGTATAAAAAAACAAAATCACTGGGGGGAATGGATCCACGTGTATAGGGACCTTCATCATCTCTCCTCCACCCTCGTCAGGTAGTTCAAGGACAGGTGAGATTTAGATCCATGGTACCTCGTCCTCGCCGTTGCGCACAGCAGCACGCTGATCTGAAGAAGCCCGCTTAAACCCCTGCTTTGCCCGACCTCTCCGTTTTACACTCACACTCCTCTCCCACCTCCACCCCTAACCTAAAACGCACGCGCACCCGCACTTCCCCTCGTACGGCATCCCACCAGCTTTCCTCCACCACCCCTTCGCCACCGCGTGTTGGGACCTTTCAAACCACTCCTCTCCCCTACTCGTCAATGCAGAATGTGCAGGGAGCGTCTGAAAGTTGAAGCAATTAGAAACATCACTTAGGAACAAATAACCCCTTCTTGTCCCCCTCCCCCCTATATCTCACCTCTCCTAGCACCCTCCACAGCTTCGACTTCATCACCCCGTCTCTTCTCGTCCTCCCACTCCCCTTCTGCACCACCCTTCCCCACTCCCTCCCCCTGCAGAGTGCGCATGGTGCGCGAGGTGAAGTGGGTGGACGAGGTAGTACTGCATAACACCCGCCTTCATGCACCGCCTCTTCACGCACCATCGCGTCGACTTCATCATTCCTCTCTCTGCCTTTCCCCCCTCTTCCCCATTCCCCGTTGTAGAGTGCGCATGGTGCGGGAGGTGAAGTGGGTGGACGAGGTAGTAGTAGGCACGCCGTACTGCATCACCCCCGCCTTCATGCACCGCCTCTTCACGCACCACCGCGTCGACTTCATCATTCACGGCGACGACCCCTGCCTTCTGCCCGACGGCTCCGACGCCTACGCGGAAGCCAAGCAGGCGGGCCGGTACCTCGAGGTGCGGCGCACGGAGGGGATCTCCAGTACGGATATTGTCGGCCGCATGCTGCTCTGCGTGGGCAGTCGAACGGCCGCCACGGAGGCTCAGCAGCAGCAGCAGTCGCTGGAGCGGGAGTTTGCCCACACGGGGTCGCCCTCGCGCTCGCCCTCGGAGCACTGTAACCGCTCTGGATCGCCTCACGCAGGGTCGCCGTCGCTTCCGCCTCGACCTTCCTCTCCGCTCCCACCCCCCGCGATGCTCTCCGCCTCCGCTGTTCCATGCTCGCCCCTGCGACCCTCTCTCCCTCCACCCTCCTCCTCTGCCCTTGCCTCCTCCGCTCCGCACGCATCCTCCCCTTCCCATGCGCCATCTACTGAAGCCGCCTCGTCACCTGCGCATGCCTCTGCCGCTCCCCCCCTCCACCGCGGCTCTCCCCCATCCTCCCCAGCCCACCTGTCCAGCTCCCCCGCGCCCCTCCCCGCGCACTCCCCACTTTCACTAGCGCCCGCGCTACCCTCCTCCCCTTCCTGCGCATCCCTCCCCTCCTCCGCCTCCTCCGGCTCACTCTGGGGGCTCTCCGCCTCCCCCTCCTCCTCCGCCGCCTCCTCCCCCCTGTTCCCCCCGTCGCTCGCGCCCCTTGCCTCCGCGCGCGTGTCGCGCTTTCTCCCCGCCACCTCCACCGTGCTCGAGCTCAGCAGCCACCAGGTAGGTTCGGGGGCGGGGGGGGGGGGGGGAGGAGGGTTGCTTGGGGGTGGGGGAGGAAGGGAAAAGTGACTTCTGAGTCGACTCAAAAGTCTCTCCGCCACCTCCACCGTCCTCGAGCTCAGCAGCCACCAGGTAGGTCGGGGCCGCGGGGTGGGTGGGAGGGGGAAATTCGGGTGAGAGGTGACAGACGAAGTGGGTGGCAAAGCGACAGCCTTTTTGGTCTTTCTCTCCGCTGCCTCCTCTCCCTCCCCTCATCACACTCTCCCGTTTTTCTTTTTTCCCCAGTTTCCGCCTTCCCCATTCCCCCTTACCCATTCCCCTTTTCCCCTGTGTCCGCGCGCCAGCCGCGCAGCATAGACCCATCGGCGCGCGTGGTGTACATCGATGGGGCGTTCGACGTCTTCCACAGCGGCCACGTGCAGGTGAGATCCAGCACGTGGGCCACGTGCAGGTGAGGTACGCCACGTGGGCCACGTGCAGGTGAGGTAGGCCACGTGGGCCACGTGCAGGTGGGGTACGCCACGTGGGCCACTTGCAGGTGAGGTAGGCCACGTGGGCCACGTGCAGGTAGGGTAGCCCACGTGGGGTCCAGCAAATGCCACGTGCAGGTGGGGTGGGCCACGTGTCCTTTATACCACTGCGTACCTTTCAATAACGTACTAAAGCAAAGCAAATTAGAAGCAAACTGTATTCACCGACCGTTTCCTTCCCCAAACACCCCTCCCACCCCACACAGACGCTACGAGCAGCCAAGGAGCTGGGCACGTTCCTGCTGGTGGGCGTGCACAGCGACGCCACGGTGCGGGCGAACCGAGGGCAGCACCACCCCATCATGGGCATGCACGAGCGCTGCCTCTCGCTGCTCGCCTGCCGCAGCGTCGATGAGGTCGTGCTGGACGCCCCCTGGGTCGTCTCCGACCAACTGGTATGCCCGCCTGTGCTGTGCTTCTGAGTGTGTTGTGTCTCCCACCCGCCTCATGCCCACCCACCTCGTGCCCACCCGCCTCATGCCATTCGCATGCTCCAGACCGCTTGCATCGTCCCCTCCCGCCCCGCGTACTTCCTCTATGCCAGCTATCCTCCGTACATGTTCCAACTGCCCGCTGCTCCTCCTGCATTGCCCCTCTCCGCCACCCCCCTGTGTGTGTGTGTGCATGGATGCGCCATGGCACACACAGATAGCAGCGTACAACATCTGCCTCGTCGTGCATGGCACTGTTGCCGAGTCCAACCCCCTCTGCCAGGTACCCTGCGCTGCCTGCTTCTCTCCTTCCTCCTCTGTCCCATGCCCCATGCCCCATGGGGCAAACCGTCATTTGTTTACTGGATTTCTTGCCACTGACTTATTTTATGTACGTCTCCTCACTCCCTTATGGCACATGCATCCTATGCCTGCCCTTGAGCTCCCTGCCATGCTACTCTTTGCCCCTCGCTTCCCGTCTCCCTCCCCTTCACCCCCCTCTACCCCCAATCCGCGTTTCCACCATCTGCTGCTGGATTGGGTGATGGCAGGGCGAGGAGCAGCGGTACGCGGCAGCGAGGGCGAGGGGCATGGTGAGGCAGGTGGAGAGCGCTGCAGAGACCACCACCACCACCATCGTCACCCGTATTGTCGACAACCACCACGCTTACATTGTAAGAACCACCGCCGTTGCTGCCTGCGTACGGTCCACCATCCCATCACCATCCCATCACCATCCCATCACCATCCCATCACCATCATCACACCACTTGCAATGTGAGGACCACTACCGGTACCTCCGTTACCATAAACGTCACCTGTTGTGTGTGTGTGCTGCCTCTCCATTCCCCCTCATGGCATCTCTGCTACCTCTCGTCCGCTCACTGCCTTGCTGCTACCTCGCTCCCTTATCTCGCAAGTGGCTGCTCTCCCTCCCCCGCCCCTCGCTGCATCGCTGCTGCAGCGCCGGCATGGCAAGGCAGTGAGCCAGCGCGAGTACAGGGAAGCAAAGAGAGCCTGGGCAGCTGTCGCCCGGGCAACCGCCACCACCACTGCCACCACCGCTGCCACCACCCTCCCCTCACTGCCTTGTTACTACCTCTCCCCCTCTCCCCTCACTGCAGCGCCGGCATGCCAAGAAGGCAGTGAGCGAGCGGGAATACATGGAAGCAAAGAGGGCCCGCGCAGCCGTTGCCTCCTGACACTCGCGCCACTTCTGCCCCTCTTCACTGCTGCACCTGCGCTGAAGTGCGCTCATTAGAGTACGGTACCTGGAGAAGAATACTTTAGTTAACCTGCCAGGTTTGTAGTGGTGTAGTGCGGTGCAAGCAGTCTCAGCAGTGGTACCGTAGCTGTGAAAGCGGTGCACCCCCCGAGTCCAGACATGTGTTGGTATCAAAACTGAATGATGGTGTTGTCTGTGGCGTTAAATCCTGGCATCATGGCTCAGTATACGTATGTTGGCAGCTATTGAACCAAGGGGACAAAAAGGTTCCAGACTGCAAACCCAACTGACCATGACACACACCCTGAATACAGTTACACTGAGAGTGCACATCAATTACGATTGTACAAACCAGGTAGCGCGTATTTCTGTGGCTGGCTTCTCACAATTACCGTTACCTACCATTAATATGGTGGCCCGTAACAAGCCTCATGTTGCGGCAGGAACCATTACAGCAGTGTGATGCGCATGCCTAGTGCTGCTTATCGACAAGGCTGAAGGGCCTCGATGTTAGCGAGTAACTGCAGCTTCTCAGCAAACTCCATCACAAGTTCACAACACAGGGCATGATGTTGCTCCATTATTCTCACGGGTGTCAGGTCAGGCCCCTGGTGCAGAGGCATTAGCTAGTAGTCATTGTTTGTCATGTCAGCAATACTGGTGTCCCTCACAAACCACACTACCGTAAGTAGAGTTTCCTCCTCATACCGTGAAAGGGGCCGAGGCATTGCCTAGTAACCATTATGCCGCTACTCTTCCTTATGGTTCGGGCTGAGGGGCTGAGGCATTGCCTAGTAACCGTATCTGGTCAGCAATGGTGGTGTCCCGCACAAACCACACGTGGTCCTCCCCAGGCGGCACGAGGGTTTGGCAGCGCACGTTGACTGGGTTGACCACGCCAGACAAATGGAAGTGGCGCAGCTCCGTTGCTGCGTTCAGCACCACGCCGCCCTTCTGTGGCTCTCGGGCCTCGTGGATAGACACCACCTCGGTCTGGAAAGGGGAGGGATTGGGTTAAACAAGGAAGAAGAGTGATTTGTGATTATGCGATCAGCACCACGCCGCCCTTCTGTGGCTCTCGGGCCTCGTCGATGGAGACCACCTCGGTCTGGAAGGGAAATGGGGGTCACAAGCAAGGGAGTGACAAGCAAGGAGCTGACGGGTGATTAGTGGAATGCGTTGCCACCATGCTGGCCTTTGTGGCTCTCGGGCCTCGTCGATGGACATGACCTCCATATGGAAGGGGAGGGATTGCGGCAAGCCGTAGTGGGAAAAGGGAGTATGGGTAATTTGCACTAAAAGGGGAGCATGAGGGAATGACATATGGAGGAGATGACACGACAGATAGGGGAATGAGGTGATAGGGGGTAGGATGTTTGCTATGGAGCTGATTGTTGATGCGCCTGCAAAAAGACTTTTGAGTCGACTCAAAAGTCACCTTGATGCGGGTTGTAATAGGCTTGGTATGGAGCTTAGTGTTGACCCACCTGCAAAAAGGCTAGCCGTGACTCGTGTAAACTCACTTGTGAGGGCGACTCACCACGAGGGGGCTCACAATCAGCTCCCGTGGCTCGGCCAGACCTCAGACACAGGTCCGGGTCTGCCTCTTGTTTCGTCCCTGAGAGGAGGCACCTTAAAATATGCGGTTTGAGAGTGAGAGAATGGGGCACCTAGGAGGGAGCAGCCTGAGAGGGCGTCTCACCTTGCGCGGGTTGAGAATGAGTTTCCAATGGCCCCGCCAGTCCTCACACAGGTCTGACTCGATCCGCTGCTGCACCCCTGAGAGGAGGCACTTTAAACGATACGCATACGCCTGAGAGTGAGAGTGAGGCGCCCGAGAGGGGGAATCCTGAGAGGGGTTCTCACCTTGCGCGGGTTGAGAATGAGTTTCCGATGGCCCCGCCAGTTCCCACACAGGTCTGACTCGATCCGCTGCTCCTCCGCGCCGCCGCGCACACACCACACGTCAGGCCGTCGGAACACCAGTCTAGACAGCAGCTCAACGGCACGCCTCTTCGCCTCCTCCACTGCAGCTTCATCCCACTGCATCTCACCATCCTGCGTGCCGTTCCCTGCTGTGCCCGGTGCTGGTTCCAGGCTCCTGTTACTCGTCTTTTGAGGCGCCTCAAAAAGTGCTGGTTCCAGGCTCCTGTTGCTCGTCTCAGAAGCCCCACCAGCCGCCGCAGCAAGACCACCAGCAGTCTGCAGCACAGCAGTTCCAGGCACCACCTGCGCCTCCCCTTGGCACACGGAGGGTTCGACCACGAGTGCCCCGTGGGAGAGCCAGGGGGCGTGGGCGTGCGCGGCGAGCAGCACGTGCAGGGAATGCGGCGGCACGGGCGAGAGGTACTCGTCTGTGTCGTGGAGAGTGACCCAGCGGGATGTGAAGAGCGACCGGTGTATGCAGTCGTTGCCTGCAAGGGTCTGGTGGGAGGGGATGGGGTGGGGGGAAAGAGGTGTTGAATGCGGTACTGAGATCGCCCCGTGCTTGTGTGGGCATGGGCGAGAGGTACTCGTCTGTGTCGTGTAGGGTGGCCCAGCGGGATGTGAAGAGCGACCGGTATATGCAGTCGTTGCCTGCAAGGGTCTGGTGGTAGGAGGGGGTGTGGAAGAGGGTTGTTGAAGCACTTAGTCCCCTTGTACCTGCCTCCACTACATATATGGATTCATATACACTCCTAAAGGTGAATATGCTTGAAAAACAAGCTCAAAACACCCCCCACCGACCTGGTGTTTGGTGATAAAGCTCAGTGCCCCCTCCCCCGCGTGAAACCCGAACCGCCGCCCTCCCGACATGTCCGTAACGGCCGCCATGCCCGCAGCAAAGTACGGCGCGAAGAGCGCCGTGAGGCCCGGCGACCAGGCAGCCATGTCGTAGAATAAGAAGCGGGAGACGTTGGCATAAACACGGTGATACTCCGCCCATGCCCACACCGGCCCCGCGTCCAACGTGCCGTAGAGCGGCTGGGAGCACCACGTGAGGTGCATGGGGAGAGAGGCCTCCGGAGGCGGCTCTAGAGGCTGTGCGGTTGGGGTTGGGGGAGGTGGGCGGAGACAAGCGGGAGGGAATGGGGAGGGGAAGGGGAGGGGGAGGGTAAGGGGAAGGTGAAGGGGAGGGGAGTCAAAAAGTGTGGTGCTGGATGCGAGTTTTTTAGAATCAAATAAAGGAGTGAATCCAATGCTCAATTGGATTAGTTTGCCCCATACCTGCTGTCCTCCACAACATTTCACCTTTCCCCGCATCCCACCTCCCCCGCATCCCACCTCCCCCGCATCCCACCTGTCCCGCATCCCACCTGCCCCAAATCTCACCTCTCCCGGACCCTCATTGAAGACGGCAGCCTCCACACCATCCATGGTCATCACCAGATAGCCGTCCGCCCGAGAGGAGTTGCCTACTAGCTGCCAGAAAAACTTTACCTCCCTTGCATCTCACCTGCCCCGGCTGCTCGTTAAAGACAGCAGACTCCACACCGTCCATGGTCATCACCAGATAGCCGCCTGCCTGGGACGTGTTGCCCCACAGCTGGCAGAACGCTGCTAGCGAGTCAGTCTGTAAGGGGGATGGAAGAAACGGGATGTAGAGGAAAAAAAGCGAGTCTGAGCTTGAATAGATTCGTTACTGGGTCGGTCTGTAGGGGGGACGAGGGTGAGGAGGTGGAGAGGGAAAGGGGAAAGGGCTGGATAGAATATTCGTGACCAAGCGAGCCAATTTGAAACTTGAAGCACCTTAGTTTTGGGGCGCATGAAGTCTCTGTACCACATTGAACCGTTCACTCTGCTGCCATCTCGCCCCACCCATCGGCAGCCCTCCCCCTCCGACACCCACAAGAAATTGAGGCTGCTTATACCGAGTACGACGAAGCGAGAGGGGCTGATGCGGTAGGCGCTGGAGGGATGGAGAAATGGGAGAGGAGTGGTTGGGGGGCAGGGAGGAGAGGAATGGGCTGGGTAGGGGAGGGGGAACGAGTGAGTGAGTGAGGAAGGGGAGGAGAATAAGAGGAGGATAAGGCAGGAGAGTGGGACCGTGAACCACCACAACATACGACATTCTCAGTGCAGTGAAAGCTCATACAAGAAAATGCACAAGCAAAACATCACAGTCGTAACTGATTCTACAGGGCTCAAGCCGGGCGTAACACCCAGCCCTCCCTGCGAGATTACGGCGGTTTCACGAAGGTTCTCGGGTTCGTCCAGATGGACTGGACGCCCCCCTGCCACCTCAGCCCCACTGCCTCAGTTGACTAGGGCCGCTGGTATGGCAGCCGCACCTGAACTCGTAGAGGAATCCTCGCTGCTGGTAGGTTCGTTGCCTCCACTGCCGCGCTTCCGTCTCAAGCACACTCGCTACAGCCACGTCCGACCGGTTTCGCCTGCGCGTCGCTTCCAGGGCCTCCGTGTAGCGCTGCGGACCGCAAGGGCACGCACACACACGGGCACGCACACACACGGGCACGCACACACACGGGCACGCACACACACGGGCACGCACACACACGGGCACGCACACACACGGGCACGCACGCACACGGGCACGCACACACACGGGCACGCACGCACACGGGCACGCACACACACGGGCACGCACACACACGGGCACGCACGCACACGGGCACGCACACACACGGGCACGCACGCACACGGGCACGCACACACACGGGCACGCACACACACGGGCACGCACGCACACGGGCACGCACACACACGGGCACGCACGCACACGGGCACGCACACACACGGGCACGCACGCACACGGGCACGCACACACACGGGCACGCACGCACACGGGCACGCACACACACGGGCACGCACGCACACGGGCACGGACAGACGCACGAGCAGGCAGGTTCAGAGGCACCCACACACAGACGCACGCAGAGGGGGGAGGAGAAAGCATGGGAGTGGATAAGGTTTTTAGACTTCTCAAGAAGCGCTCTCACAATGGAGGGGCGGGGCGGGCCATTCCACCGACCGTTCTCTACCGCTGTCACCTCCGTCCAGTCACACCGCATACCGCACTATCCGCCACACCGCATTACCCGCCAGCCGAATTATCTGCCACACCGCATTACCCACACCGCACTGTCCGCTACACCGCATTATCCGACAGTGCGTCATCACTCACCGATAGTTCCGCCGGAGTCCGCACGTCACCCGGCGCTTCATTCTGCTGTTCCTCCTCGCCGCGCTTCTCTCCGCCAACTCCGTCATCTCTATCGCGCGTCTCTCCGCCATCTCCGCCGTTCCCGCTTCCTGCCTTATGCGCTACTGCCACGGCTTCAAGTGCGGAACATGGGGCATTGCCGACGCCGGCGGTGCCGTTTGGAGCGGCTTGGCGCGCAGCGACGGAGGAGGGCGAGGAGGAGGAGAGGACGGAGGAGCGGAACCGGAGGAGCGGGGAGGAGCGGGAGAGGAGTAGAGGGGAGAGGAAAGGAGTCAATGCGTCTTGGACTAGGGCCTGATTGACAAGAGACGGACAGGAAGAAGAGGGAAAGGCGTGGTTATTTGAGTCAAGTAAAAATCATTTTGGGTTCTAAAGCAGCCTCGAAGCGTACTATACCAGGACCGAGAGATGATTATTGCGTCGTCCCAAGAATCGTCCTATTACAAAATATTCAGAGTCTCAGATTAGTGAGTGGCGACAGTCATCACGATGTAGCGCTGATGCGCCGAACCAGCACTCTAGCCAAGGGTGGAGGAGGAAAGTGCAAAAAAACCTCTGGCCCCAAAATGTGGCCTCCTGCCCTTTCCCCACTGCGTGGAAATAGTCGCTCGATGGGAGGCACTGACGTGCGCTTGAGTGCCTCTCGTCGCGATCGAGCAGTGCATCGCCTGGCTATATGCGGCGGGCCGTTTCAGAACTCGATGGCGATCACTATGTAGTTTTAATGTAGCCTATTCGTGGCTTGTATCGGTCCATTGCTCTACTCGGCATGACGTACCCCACACACTAGCAGCGTCATCAGCGCGCCGAGCGTCGCGGCCGCGTGTATGCCCCACCCGTGCTGTGAGCTCTTAAAAGGTGGACACGTCATCATCCTTCGATCCCAGGTCTGGGTTTATGACTTCAGAAGAGGAGCTGTGACTTCTTAGGAATACTACCTAGTAGCGGCTTGAGTGTGAGCTAGTAGCGGCTCGAGTATGAATAACGAGCGTGTCTCAAAGTCTCTCCGTCACAAACTAGTTGTTAAGGCAAAGGGTTAAACACTCCGTCAGCTGCTTACTGGAGAGGTTCTGAAACCACTTGTTCCATCCCCTCTGTCTTACTACAAGAGGGGATCCTAGACAATGGAGCAGTAGGTGCACGAGGGGGCGAAGTGTCTGGGGTCAGACTACTCGTGAGCCGGCAGCACCGAATACCTGCTAGCAGCGCAACGTAGCCGTGCGTGCTTGACATGATCGTACAACGCTGCAAGGTGCGCTTATCGGACTGGTGCCCGACTTCGCAGTAGATCGTGATTCGTCGTGACGTGGCTTGTGTGAAGCAGGCGGTTTGAAAACGACCAAGAGTCGATCGAACAATACCAAGCATTCCTGTCGTGTGGAATCACACCCCACACCACAGAGCATTCGCTTCGCAACAAATTCCGCCACTTCAGAAAGGCGTGGGGTGGGAGAGCTAGCTGGCTGGGAGCATTGTGGAGTGACAATTTGGTGCGTGTCGAGTCGCGGTGTTTTTATAGGATCGAAGCGCGTGTTCAAGAATCGTACGTGGGGCTGGATGGTTGCTGCTTATTTGTCATTGGCGCACGAATGGGGAACGACAGCACCACGATGTCGCACGCTCGTTTGGAGCTTGTCGCATGCTCGGTAACACGGAATATCTCTTTGTACCAAATAACAGAAGCTAATAGAAGCATAGCACCAGTCTACTATCGTGCAAGTGTTCATCTCCTGGCCACAAAATGGCTTCACAAAAACGAGGAACACTGTAACTTGCAGAACAAGCAGGCCCAGCTTTTATATTGCAGTGGACACATGAGATTTATAGCAGCAGTCTTGCAACTAGGCTAATGAATTGTTCTTCGAGCAAGAGAGATGCGCTTGTCATGAATCGTCAAAGGCTGCGAACTAGTAAGTCATAGTTGAGGCTGACGGGGGTGGGTAGACCACCACTAGTAGCCGTAGCTTGTCTGCCACTGTAGTGCCCCTCATTAAGAGTACAGTATCCATAGAGTGGTGTAACGTTCCTTAGAGTACAGGGAGAGGGGCTGAGACATTTGCTAGTGCTAGAAAGGCATGATGCCGGCGTTGCGGAAGCTAGATTGTAGAAAGAGCAAGACTGGAAGACTTGTACCGAAAATGGTTGAAGCGGAATGAGAGAAATGGAATTGATTGATTGTGAAACCACACAGCAAGGAATTTATCCTGTCAGCTACCCTGCCCATACCCATCCATCCACACCAATAATTGTGCCACCAATAATGGTGACTCCAATACAGGAATACCAATAATTCTACCCCCAGACCTCTAGACTCCAATAATTCTAGCCCTACAATAATTGTACAATTATTGTAGGCCCTGAAGTCTTATAAGGAGGACTACAGTAAAATCTAGCAGCATAAATGTTTCGTTATATGTTATATTTCTCAACACTCCCCCTTGCTGTAGATTTTACCGAAGCTGGTTGTGGAAGGATTGCTGTAAACGCCGTTGATTGCGGAGTGAACTAGGGTCACGGCGTTGATTTCGGAGTCACCTTGGGTGATGGCAGCGTTGATCACGGCGAACCGAGCGTAGTCGAATAGTTCCGTTGGGATCGCGGCGGACAATGGGGCGGTTTATCGTGTTTGGAATTTCCGTGCAACTGGCGATTGCTGTACTGCACGTTCCGACGCGCAGGTGGTCCCTTCGAACGATCCCTCACACCAAACGCTGCTGCTCCTGCTTCAGTTCCGCACATCCCTCTCAACGGGGTCTCTCCCAAGTGCGTCATTTTCGCTCTCCTAACCACGTCTCTTCCGATCGAGTGTTGCTGCTCCTTCCTCATGCTCGTGAGTTGTTACTCCCTGTCCGATCTGCCTTCCCAGCCGTGTCAACTCCTCCCATCGCTGCCATGGCTGCTGCTGCAGCTTGGAACGTTTTAGGTTTTTTCAGGGCGCAACTTCCACTTTGTCGACCTGCAATTGCAGATCGTCATTCAGCAGCTCCTGCCCCGTCCTTAAGCGCGATGTCTTGTAGCTAGCTGCAGGTCGTCACTAGCGCTTGCCATGTCGCGGCTGGCGCTCGTGGACAGCAGCGCACGTGACGACCTGCAGCGCCGAATGCGCATTTTTGCGGCTGCGGCCAGATCCGCAACTGCTGCTGCAGTCGCGTTACTCCTTCCTCTGTCGCGCGGCTGCGGTACCCTCCTCTCTTGACGACCTGCGTGCTGCAGCTCCTTGCGCGTAACTGCTGTTCATGGCGCTCTGCGACATCGACGCTTGTGACGGTCGGCAGCAGCGGTTGGCGCACGACTGCAGCAGCATGCGCGCTGCTGCATTATATCGCATGTGGGGGCTTCTGCTGGTGCGCGCCCTCCCCTTGCCATTTCAGACGACATGGCGCTCCTGCAGTGCCTCGCGCATGACGTTGCTGCCCTCGTCGCGCGGCTGTCTCTCCTGCTGACGCCCACGACCGCAGCGACGGCTGCACCTGTGGCGAGCTGCAGCACCTGTGGCGCACGGCAACACCTGTGGCACACGGCAACTGTGTACCCGCCCACACACCGCAGTAACTCCTGGCGTCCGGCTTTCTCCTTCCTGCCGAGGTGAGAATGCTTAGTCAAACCAGACTGCTTCACCCATGTTGCCCTGTGATGCTCCCCATACACTCCAGCAGTCACACGGTAGCAGCCGGAGTTGCCGAACTCCATCAGCTGGAGGGTTGCGTATGCCGACGCACTCCAAGTATCCCGAACTCTGCACTCCATGTATGCAGAAATGTCCACTCCAAGTATGCAGTGTTGTGCACTCCAGGTATGTAGAAGTGTCCACACCAGGTATGCATAAATACCTTCTCCCATGTATATTCTCCGTTCTTCCCTCGCGGTAGTGCCGTTCATCAGCAGTAACCAGTCGTACGATACCGCTCCAGCACGACGGATGACCACCGGCTGCATCCATTCTGCCTTGTGCTACTCCCTCTATACCAGGTGACGTACGGGAGCAGGTGCAACTGGTACACAAGCACCTGGCGGCTGCTCATGCACTGGGCGGCTGCTCTTGCTCCTGGCGGCTGCTTCTGCTCCTGGCGGCTGCTCTTGCTCCTGGCGGCTGCTTCTGCTTCTGGCGGCTGCTCCCCCTTACGCCCTGCAGCACCCCTGAAGCCCTGCAGCACCGGGCCTGCAGCAGCTCTCCCTGATGCGCAGGCCGCTTGCACTGGTGCAGCTCCAGCACTGGGTGGCAGCGGTATCAGCAGCACCTGTGTCACCTGGGTGAGTGCTCCTGTCAGTGCCTGACTCCAGCTGTCTTCCCTTGTATTTAGTAAGCCTTTGTCCTCTTCTTGTGATTCCCTTTGCTTGTTTGCCTTTTGTCTTGGATAATGTTCTTGACTCGTGCTGTCTTGATTCTTCTCCCCCTGAAACCAGTAGGCATGTGAAGTCTTGAGGAATGGCCGCTGCAGTTGGCGAGTGGTTGTGACCAATCAGCAGCAACGACTGTCAAGCAGAATATCTGATGGCTGCTCTTGTTACTAAGTGCAGTAGGTCTTCTCATAATGTTGTGCTGACTCTTGTGATGATGAAAATGAAAAGATGGTTGTGAGATGAAATCCTGATTTGTTACACCCCAAGATACTCCACACCCCACTCCCCCTCGCACTTATGTATTTGTAGGCATGCACATGCGTGAGCATGCACACATCACCAAACACACAAATGAGATGTGTGGAGTTACGTGATGCTTTGGTGTCCAGCACTTCTTGAGAAGCCCGGACGTGAGAGTGCAGCTCCAGCAGCTTCAATGTGAGTACTGGGAGACGGTGCGCCATGTGGAACTGGCTGGAGACCGCACAAGAGGCTGCAGGTGAGATATTGCTTTGCTGTGAGGGGCTTGGTGAGATAATCCGCAGCTTGCTGAGTTGTTGGGCAGTACTCCGGCCGCACAACTCCATCACGAATGACCTTCCTCGTCGAATGGTAACGGACGTCCATGTGTTTGATGCGTTGACTCATCTGCTCCCCAGTGGCAAGTGCAATTGCGCTTTGGTTATCCACGAAGATGACGGTAGGTTCGTGTTGTCGAAAACCGAGGTCT